AACAAAACCATTGCATTAGATATGCTATCGAGCTAGTCTGCATAAATAATCGCAATTTGTTTGTAGCTTCACTATACACTTCCTGAAACAAATGCAGATGCCCGAAGTACGTAAGGGAAAAAGATTCAGGCTTCAAAAGTTTAACAAACAACCAAAATAATTTCTGAAAGAATTGGGCTTACATTCGCGGATATTCATACAAACACCTACGTCTGATGCACTCATTTAAAAGCGGAGCGGAGAATCTGACAATCACCTGCAAGCAGCAATGTTGGCATTCATCCTAGCGGTGAGTTTTCTTATTTAGAATACATACATACATCAGTGAAAATTGGTGTCTTTAGGTTTGTTTCCTATCTCTACAACTTGAGGCAAAACCATATTATCCTCCCGAAAACTGCCCAGAAGTTGGAGACAGACAGATTTCGACTGATATGCGATATACGCTTTTCGCCTTCATGAAATTTGATAACCCAAATGTGGTTGGTATTATAAGAGGATTGGATTTGGAGAGATAAGAAGGGTATCGTGCATCCTTAGAATTTATAGTTGTGATTTTAGGTGTACAGTTGTGAACTTGAAAAACTAAATATTCCATTCATAGATACTAATGAATGGCCAAGTGACGAATATACTCCTTTGCTACACTTCGGGTAAAAGTTCACCTCGTTCTTAGCTAAAATTCAAGATCCTTCTATGTCAATTATTTTTTCAGTAAAAAGAGTAGATGGCCGTCGGTGGATGCTTTTCTTCAAGAAACATTCGATCACTGGAAGCCAAGAGATGTGAGTGGATTTGACAAAAGTTTGATTTTCGACAAAATCGCATTTTGGTCTAGGCAAAGGAAGTTGGATGCAGCTTTAAAGACGATGGCGAAGAGTACAAAGTTACATGTGTGTGGAAGACGAAGTAAGAGAATATGCCATTTTGTGGTCATTACTGTGATATAAGCTCGATCGTTAATTTTAAAGCAATAAAAATTTCTCTGGAACGTTTTACCAAAGTTATTCATTCTTCAAAGCAGCTTAGGTCCTTTTTCAAAGTGGCTCTCGCAAAGTAGGTTCCCGCATTCAAAGGAAAATGTCATATCCACATCGTGAGTGCATTAAAATGGATGTAGATCTTACTGGATCCAAATTCCATCTACTGTTATTTCGCACTCATTATCTAACCGCAAAAACATCTTTTGTACTTAGCGGCCATCCTCAGAGTGTTCTATGCCCTTATCTAGTTAACGCATTCTTCAACATTCAAATACATTCCTAGGCTCTAGTTGTCTTTTTCCTTCTCAATGAGTGATGCAAACATTGTCAAAATTTCCAAA